ACCAATCACTGACTTTTTGATCTAGATATAAACAGGTGCCACATATGGTTAGGCGATTGGGTCTATGAGTCGTTACACAGCATGAAGGATGATTTCTTGAGACATGCAATTGCTGGATTGAATTTTATCCCCTTATAAAATTCTATTACAAGATATCTCAGCATCATGATAGTAGGATGTTTAACATCAAGTTGATACTAGAGTTTGATGGTTCAGTGACCAGACAGGCAGTTACTAAAGGGATAGAAAAAACAGAACTTGTTTGTAATCTGTGTGGAATCAAGAAGGTTGAATGTTTTCTTCCCTTGAGATTAAACGGCATGACATTTGCTGTCTACCAGCAGCTAAGTACAAAGCAAAAAGCAGATGCTGAACAGATAAAACAATCTCTGTGCATTGCCTTTACATTGGATCGTTCTCTAGCCTATGAGCAGTTTGTGGAGCAGTGTTTCTTTGAAGAAGCTAGCAGGCCTAGTTGGTAGAATATCTGAGCAAGGACTGGCATGTGCATTAATAGCAGGACTACCAACATGCATCAAGCAGCTACTATGCACATCTTCCAGGATAGAAGACATGACTACAAGTCAGCTGTTGGATCAAGCCCAGGCTATAATGAAGGATCAGACTGTAACTGAGGAAATGGCTGCAGCTAGTATCTCACCACTCAGTGGTAGCTGATAAACTTCCAAGTGTTAAACGTCAGGAGGACCTGCGATGCTATTGATGCTCTGAGTGGAATCACACTTCCAAGGACTGCCTGGTTCGATGAGAAGATACACAAACCCATCAGCCACAAAGGACATATACAATAATGCGTTGCTTCTGGTTTTTCCAGGAAAAGAGGAAGGGGACAAGATGTTCAGAGAATTTTGAATTATACCTTTTATTTAATCTACTTAATCTGTTCATATCGAGCGATATCTTGTCTTGTTCTTATTTTAGTACCACTTGGTTATTGCTTGCCCCATTTCCACCAAGTCTGTACTACCTAGCCCAGAGATTGAACTCACGATCATGATCAACCATGCCTGATTTCCTTGTCTCACCCCGAATTATGGCTCTTAGATGTTCCTCCAGCCTTTTACAGGAGCTGCTGGTTTTACCTTTTTATTCTTTGCCACAACTGCAAAGAATAGAATACTCACAGTTCTTGGTCATGTTCGCCTCTGTGTTAAGCTTGAACCAGCAGAGATTTCTACATAGGCTTGAGATGCTCTTGATGGTTATGATGCTGTAGACAATGCAGATCTTCTGAATCTTTTTTTGATAAGCTTTTGACATTAGGAAGACAGATTGTGACAGTTTTCTGTTCATCCTTGACACTTCTGTTTCTGCTTTCAAAAGTTGATGTTATGTTTGCAGGGTAGTTGTTATTCTGATGAGTATGATTTACTCCTGTTGATATGTCACTATTTATGATTCTTGAACAGTGTTGTAGGCATCAGGTAGTCAATTTCTTTACAATGTATGGATGGTGGGAATTGAAGTTGATGTATTGTCCAGTGAATGTTGGCTTATGGTATACAAATGTTTTGAATCTAAACTCTGATTGAGCTATTAATACATCTAGTTAGGCTAGTGACTTTCTTTCTTTTATTGTGAACTGACCCACTCTTACTGAGTTCATATGGCCCAGCAGTATTTGTACAGTTTCCTGGTGAAGCCCTTATATGAAGGTGTCATCTACATATCTCAGTTTTGCTGTTGGCTTTCATGTTGCCATTACTAAAGCCACTTCTCCAGAGTATTCTCTGAATATGATTTTCATTAATTATGACAAAAGTGAATTCATAGCCAAACCTTCCTTGTTGATATATATCAGACTCTAGTTGAAAGAATGTTGTCTGTACACAGAATGTCAACATTTCTATCAGGTTATCTATCGGAATGCTAGTACATTCTCCAAGGGAGGGGTCTGCTTCCAGTCAGTTTCTCAACCACTGATAGATCATCTGTAGGGACCCTGGTGAACAGATGCACCACATCCAAGCTTACCATCCAATTGCTATGGATAGGAATCCCTTGGATCAATTTCACAATGTGTTCCGAGTTCCTAACATAAGATGAGGCCTTACCTGTTAATGGGTTGACTATATTTACCAGGAATCTGCTCAATAGGTGGCATCCTGTGCCTCTGAATGAAATACCAACTTTGTGAATCTTGGTGAACATACATATGTGGCATCTTCATGTAGCATTGAGTCAAATGTCTATACTTGTTCACTGTAAAGTAGTTCTTGTTCTTATTTCAGATCTGACAACTTCCTCTCAGTTTGAACCTGAACTCTCTGAATAGACCAGGACATAGCAGAATAATACTTGACTCGGACAAATATAGAATCCAACAAAATCTAAATTATACAATGAGGAATTTGAAAAGGTCAAGTTTCACCAAATATGTAAACTAATATAGATGAAAGAACAGAGTAGGAGTAGCATCAACGCCCACCACAGTTTAGTAAGAGCAGTTGTCAATGTCAGCAATCTGCAATTAAGTGCCTCTGAGGAATCATTGTTAAACAAGGGCCTCAACTTTGCCCCAATCATCAGGCATGTCCCATACTTCTACATGATATCTCCAGTTGAGGAAGTTGCCTTGAAGATCCCTAAAGCCTAAGCAGACAAGCTAAGATGGAAAGTGAGACAATCACTAGAAGGCCAAGCCACCCAAATCAAACATCACAAGATAAAGTCTGGCAAGCAAGACCTTACAGAGTGATACTAATATCATCTTAATGTCAACAGACAAAAAGCAATGCTACAGTGAGGAGACCAGTTGGAATGCTCAGAAATTGGCAATAGCAAGGTGAAAAAGGATATGATTCTAAAGATCGAGAAATCAGACATGGAGGGAAAAGGGTAGTCATCAACTCATGTAGAATGAAGTAAAAATACTTGATAGAGAGGAATATTGGTAAGTCAAATGTCTGAAAGAATCGGTGCATATGCTAGGCTATGAGGACTTCCTTCGTAAACCTAAAATAGCAATAAATATAATATGGGAGTCATTAATAAAGAAAGAAAGGGAAATGACAGTAAAGCTCCAACAGCTACAGTTGAGAAAAGTCTCTGAGTGCTGTCATGTATAGCAATTAACAGCAGCACTCATTAGCATGTAGGTTAGGTTTAAGGCTCCTAGTTCTCCACTCAGAATTGTCCCATGGGACTATAGCCTAGTGGGTTAAAACATCAATTTATGAATTTAGTGACATAGTAATTGTGAGTTTGTACTTTGACTCAGTGAATATGAGGTAAGCAATACAAAATGAAAAGTGCTAAATAAGAACAATCCCTAGACATGGTCAGCAATCTAGAACAAAATCTGTAGATTAAATAAGGGATTCATTTCAAAATTCCTTGAAGGCTACCAAACACCTAAAGAAGGCCAGATAGCACAATTGCTGAAACGACAATAGTTAACATGTAAATGATAACTCTTCATCCCAGAAATTCAGGCAGAAATTAAGATCTTTCAATTATGTTTAAAATATTTACTTACCCAGTCTTATTTCACAACAATTTTCTTCTATGTGCCATGTCCTATCAAGTCATTGCTGATTATGGCTTTCCACAACTTCCTATCTTTTATAGCTCTTAGCAATTTTTGTCTGTTTATCATTTCTCCCACTCCCCATTCTGCCATCCATTCACATAAGCTTATCAAGTAGGAGGCTTGCTGCTTTCCCCTGTTTCTTTTGCCTTTAATATATCCTCTGAGTGTCAATTTATGTATAAATAACACAAGTTGAATTTGAATTATTCTAGAATTTCACTCCTATTTATGTTTATGGTAAAGAAATTATTTTTACCACTTTGGGTTTCATTTATCTTTTATTTATACTTTGTCAATGTTTTACTTGTTTGTGTAAACAATACTTCTTTCCTACTTCTTTTGCCATATGTCCTTCTTAGCTATTTCACTTAAAACCTGGAAGTAACACATTTACCTTACTGCCAGGTTTGCTGGTGGAGAAAAGATACTATGTATGTACATGGATCCCAATAAATAGCACAAAAAATATCCCTGGATGATGCTCCTTCAATTATAATAATATAAAATCTCCAAACAAGTTTGATTGAAAAGAATCAACAACGTCAGTCTGTTAATTTTTTATTATATTTTTCCAATTTTCAGGTAAGGTGTTGAATATTGTGCTTGAAGTTGTGGATAAGCTGTCCAAAGTTCATATTTTGTTATTTTTGTTCAAGGACTTTTATCTATTGCAGTTATTATCGAGAACTAATGTGGTGTCTGTGGGGTAATTAGAATTCCTTTGTCTGTGTGAATATATATTTTTTATTAAACAAAAATGAAATAAATCACGTTCTCTTTGTGCAGCTTCATTCTCAATAGCCATTATACATTACATCATGTTAGACCATTTCAAACTTCCAGCTTCCCAAAGAATACCAGGATATAGACAAAGAAATTCTAACTACCACACACACACACACAAACACAACATTGGTTCTTAATGACTGTGATAATCGAAAGTACTGGAAAAAAAATAACAAAATCTGAACTTTGCACATTACTCGATACTTTTATCCAAAAATTGGAAAAATATAATAAAAAAAAAATTAAACAGACTTTTTAATCAAACTTGTTTGGATGAATACTTGCTGCTTAAATATACCTTATATAATTTTATAGGTCTAAACTTTCTTTTCTAACACATCCACTTATAGATTTACAATATTTCAATCAGAATTTTTTTTTATTCTTGTGAATGATGATTAAATACCAACACTCATAAAGATTTTGCAAACATTTGAGAATGTTTTACTGTCAAAATTTTTCCCATTAATTTTATCTACAGTTTCTTTTTGTCTTTAATGAAAGCTGCTCATAAGACAACATAAACTTTAAGAATGGATCTAAAATTAAATTATTTATTTTTATTTTTGAGTCTGTTACATTCACATATACCATTACACAAAATTTTAAAAATATATTTTTAAGAATTTTTTTTTTTTTTTTTTGTTTTAAAAACCTCCAGTTTCTTTTTCCTTATACATACACAGTCATTTGTCTATAAATATGTTTTTGAGAAATGTGTGTTTATTAATATCTTTATGAATGACTTTGAGAAATGCTATTAACGTTTCAGTAGTACAAAGAAGGGATTCAAGTTTTTGAACAAAAGCTTAAAGATGTTACTTCTTTTTTTCCTTTGGCTTTCTAAATGTTTACATAATTTTTTTCCTGTATCATTCTAAAATATGTATAATATTAACTTAAGATATAAATTGTTTGAAAAGATTTTTGACTGCATTACTTGTATATTTCTAGGTTTCTCTTGGTGACTATTCTGAACCAATCGATTTCCGTCGGAAGGGATCTAGTGTCAAAGAGCGTCAATTACCCAGTGCTCCACCTTTAGAAGACGTGGATCCTTACAGTGAGCCTTATCAATCAAAACAAAGCTTGGATGCGATTGAAGGTTAGTAAGAGACAGAAAATATTATTCTTTTCACAGAGGTTTTATTAAATTTCTTTTTTGCTGTATAAAAGTAATATCATCCCATTTACAAAAATAAATATGCAGTATTTGAAGCTATATTTGGAATTCCTCTTTCATGAGCGTTTTCACAATAATATTTAGTTTTTGAACTGTAAAAGAAATTTTCTTCCAAAAGCATATATTTTAAAAAATTTTGATAATAATACAAATTAATACATTTCAATTTTCATAATTAGCAAATATTTACAATAATTTAAGAATACCAATTATTATAAGCAATTCAACAAAAATATCCATAAGCATTACATGACTGATTAACATTTTGATATTTTTGTATTCTTTCAAACTTGTTCTCATCTTAGTTGATATACATATTATTATAGACACAAAGTTTCGACTAAGTACCCTCTAGTCATCAGGTGCCCAATAATCGACTGATATGGGATATCTGTTGATTGTGATATTTTGTCTCCATGATATCAGTTATTGTTCATTCCTGTTGAATTCATGTGTCACTACCAGATCCAAAGATTGAACTCCTGATCACAAGATGACAGTAACACATATATAGCCAACTACTATATCCACTACACTACCATCCCAAAGTGGTGTTTTTGGAGCCTTTTATATCCAATGTCAGAGTTTTTTGACATTTGGTTATAATGGCAGGTTTGCGCAGATTTTTAGTATTTTATTTCTAAAATATATATATATATGAGAGAGAGAGAGAGAACATCTATATCAGCCAAGATGACAACAATAGTTTGAAATAATACAATAATATTGACAATTACAAGTTGCAGAAATGAAATACTAACAAACATTATGGATACGTTTAAATGGACTTTGTTACCTAAAATTAAGTTTTATATTATTTTATTTCCAAAATAACTTCTCTGTATATTCAAAAATATTCATTTTAGCTTAATATGCAATTTGATTGTTATAATATGAATATAAGATTAGTGCAAGAGCAGCTTGATTTAAAATAATTTTGTACAAAATTCAATTTTTAATACAAGTTATTGGACGGTACTTTTATTAAAATTAGAGTGCATCACATTTTTGACAGATTTTCATGTAAATGATTGTTAAATACATTTTTTATAATTTGCAAAAACAATTTTTTTCTCAATGTTTTTCATATCTAGAATATGAAATCAGTATAAATCTATTTAAATTTGTTTTCATCATTTTTATTAAATCACAGTGTAGTATTTTCATTTAATCTTATTGTTTCCACCTTTTTTCAGCCTTAAAGAGACAACAAAGTATGCCAAATGAACCAGAAAACTTTGATTATGAACTTGCTAAACCTGTGTTTGATTTGGCTGATACAAGTGGGTCAGGAAACCAAACAGATTGCACAACTGGCAATATACATGATGGAGTAACTGTTGAAAATAGTCCAGCACATGGTCGTAGGGTGTGCAATACTCCTTCAAAACTCCCTTCAGAAGGTTCACCTGGATGCATGAGAGGACAAATAGTTTCACTTCCCAAACTTACTGATACTTCACCTTGCAGTAGTCGTGATTTTTCCTCTGGCGGAAACGCTCCCTTGTTATCTTCATTACAGGTAAATTAGCTGAATTCATATTCTTTGATGCACTTCACCAATGGTTGGTCGTCAGTTTATTTGCTCTTGCATGAAATTGATTTCTTGTCTTAAAACAAATTTCATAGATTATAAGTCTTATAGTTATACATTGAAGTAAACCTTACAGCTAAAATTTAATATTGTTTTAGTTAATGTTATATAATTTAATGTTTGCCTTTTTATGTCTCTTTTCTTGAAATAGAAAAAATGAGGAAACAAAATATGAGGAACACTTTAAATGTTCCCTATAAATAGAAATAAAACTTTATTTGTGTGAAAATAATGGCACAATGTACAAGACAATTGTTAACAAATGTATCACCAAATGATAGTTTTAACAAGTTTATCTAAAATTATAAATTCAGCTCACCATATGGATATTGTTTGAAATTATAAGATTAGTCATTGTCACTATTCCACAAATTATTCAAACTTGTATTCTCATGTTTGCTGGGTTTTTTTTTTCACTATTCCTTACCCTTCTTCAGTTTTATAGTTCATCTGATTGAATTTTTCATATTCAAGAGCTGACAATCCAGTATGAAAAATTAGAATACTTATACTGAATAGATCAAAACAACATTTGGAAAACACATATTATTTTTCAGTTGTGAAGGCCCTAGCAATATCTCTTAACTTGAGTATATCATGTTGAATTCTCCATTGACTTTGATTATGCAAAATGAACTTATTTCTTTGTATATGTTGGAGAAAATGTGAAATTTGATTATATTGACTAAGAATCTGCTGAACCTCAGCTAGATTTCATAATGGAACTATTTCTCTATGAATCTTTCCACAAAATTACACTAAGCAATCACTTCACAAAGGTCAAGCTTCCTTGTGAAAATAATGACAAATCTTTTGCAGTTGTGATAGGGAATATTAAAGAGGAATAAATTGAACTCTACAAATTGAACATCAAATAGATGAAGAACATCTAGGTTTAGTAGAACATGCATAGAAAAAAGGGGTGAATAATGTCCCTTTAAAACGAGGTGAAATTAATAGAGAAAATCATTGGAAAGTTTATAGGTTGAAGTGGATGTATATTAGTTTGACAAAAAGATGCATAAGCAGGCTCCATATGCAAAAAGTATGTGATTACCTGTGCTAAGCAGAATATAAAAAGATCAACTAAGAGATGAAAAATATTTTCAGTGTACCTACTAACATAAAAAAGAACCTTGTTATATTTTTTATTTGTGGCTATGCAAAATAATGACTAACCAAAAATAAACCATTTCTCAAGTAGTACTTCTCATTGCATTGAGAGATAGGATTAGTGATACATATTGATGTTTGCAACACCAACCAAGAAATCAAGGTATGTTTTTGATGACGACTTCCATGAAAAAAAAATTTAATTGTATATTTTAACTGGTGTGCAAAATAGATATCATCCTTATCTACATTATCTACAGGAATCTTTGATACCCACTTCCAGAACTATGTAATAGAAGGCAGGGCAACTAGATGATGGCCAGGAATTCATCAACTGAAATAAGGCTGGAAATGCAAATTTCAATAAAAGCTCACTCGATGATTGTTAGTTTCATTGATATCCTGTTTCATTTTATTTAAAATTAGTTTTCAGGAACATAACTAAATGTGGCACCATTATACATTTGCTATTAAATTTACAAGTTTAGTTCATTTCAAGATTTAATTGCATTTATGAAAACTGATCATTTTATCTTCTTTCCTGTACTTGAGAATTCTTAATATGTTTATTTAACTGAAAACTATTAGAAAATTTTATGCACTGGCATGGTGCTCTTAAGATCAAGTCATAGGGCAACTGAAGGCAATAAAAATTGGAGGCCTATTTCAAATATTGCTATTTCACTTGGAGCAAAACATTTTAGTTTCTGCTTGGGTTTGCAGCAGTTTGATGCTGTAGTCAGCTTAAGAAATTCAAAGAAAAATGTAGAGCATAATTTATTTGCCTTTAAAAATTCATCCTCTTTATTGAGGTATGTTTTTCTTTACTAAGTTTTTATTACAATTTGGATGATCTTTGGATTTTTCACTTCACACACTTTTAACAAGGATGTACAAAATGTTATATGCCTTTTAATCTTTGAATTAATTATCCACCTTAAGACTTAACCATATTGAAATTATGAATTCTGGAACAAAAATATGACATGAAAGTAACTTTTATTTTATTGTTTAGAAATAAAGTAACTATTGTTATGCTGACCTATTTTATCATAAATATACTTTGTTATAATTAGAGAAGTATCTAGAAAAATAATTAACTCTTAAAAATGTGTGATTTAGCAGCAGGTTTAGGGTTAACATTTTACACACCTCATTTACAATATCAAAAAATAGATTAAATTTATTGAATTCAATTAGAACATTAACTTGATGTAACAATATTTTTAATAAATGATTTTTCATTAATTTTGTAGTATGCAATATTACATTTTTCCTATTTTATGTTTTTTAACAGTAAACTAAACTAAAATTAAACATACTTTTTTAAATACTTTTTTAGAAAGAAAAACAGATTACTCATAAAAGAATAAATTTTATAATCAATATATTTGTTGTTATGAATAACAATATCATAGAGAAAATTATTAAATTAACCTTATGCAACAAATAATAGCATTTTTAAACAAATTTCAGTGTAAAATCAGAATCAAAGAAAAATGTTTTTTAAAAGAAAAATCAGTTAAACATAACAAAACATTATTAAAATTAACTTTCTTGGGGGAAACATTGTACCACAGAAGAACAAAATCTAGGAGAAAATCGGATTAATAAATTATTTCTTTAAATTGAGTAAAATTAAAATCTTAGATTTCGGTATAAAAAGTGTGGTAAAAATTCAATATGCTTTTTTTTCATTTGTTAGAAACAGAAATACAGATTATGCAAAAATAAAGTTGATCATTAGAGTATTTGCTTTTATGAATAAAAGTTTAATAGAGAAGAATGGGGAATATATATCTATATATATGTATATATAAATTTTTATATACCAGAACAATGTTAGGAAAATCAATGAAAAAATTGAAAAAGATTTTTGTGCAATGAATTTCATCCTTTAGAAGTTCAACTTCTTATAATATCTCATCTTTCTTGAAAAATCTTAAATTATAATGTGGGATACTTAATAATGAAAGTAATAAAAGAAACTAAATGAAATTGTCTACACTATATACCCAAACACATATTTAAAAAAAAAAAAAAATTAAACTTAAGTTTCAAATTTCAGTGTTCACTCTCCTTCATGTGTAGTCACATAAACATAAGTTTAGTCTGATGAAGTCCTAAAGAAGGAAATGTGTCACATGAAAAAAATAGAGAAGAATATTAAATTTAATTTAAGTGTAAAATGTTAAATTAGCTTCCAAATAACAAGACCAAATTTCCAAAACTACATTTTTTAGTGAATTACACATAAAAAAGTTTGTTTTTTGCAATGAAAACATAAAATAAGATAGCATGTTCAAAGAAAAGAAAATTAATAAATCTTATATTTATTTCAATTAAATAAGCTAAGGTTATTCCAAGTGTAAAAAGCAAACATTTCTTTGGGCCAACTACAGCAGCAAATCAAAAAACAAAACTAAAATGTGTTGCTCTCAGTGAAACAATGAAATTTGAAATATGCCTCCAGTTCTTGCCTTCAATTGCACTATAACTTAGCCTTAAGTAAAGAATAGCATGGTATAAGCAACCATATAGGGGTTTTTTTTTTTTTGTTCGTTCTATCAATATTGTTTAACTCCTAAAGTTTTTGCTTTAGCTATTAATGAAAATAATTTTAACAAATTGGTCTGTTAAGTTGCCAAAATCCAATATTCAACACAGCCTTTCAAAACATTCTTGTCATTTTTCCCACTTAAAGTTAAATAGCAATTATTTTGTTAAATGCTTCTTTCCTATATAAAATTTGGTTCTAAGCAAATAGAAATTGTCAACTTTTTACAAAAGTTTCCAACACATTTTAAAATTTACATTTCATTTTTTGTTTCCTTTCTAAATTTGCTCCCTGTGAACCCCAAATTTTCACACATTGAATATATTCACCAAATATAATTGTTTATTTTTTCTCTACTAACAGTTGTAAAAGTTGAACTAGTCATTCTCCAAGTTCAATTTAAGCTAGTTAATCTTAACTACAATCAAAATCTCAACACAACAAAACTAATGATATCTACAGTAAATCTTTATGGTGTTGTCTTATATGCATGTGTAAAATACTTTTATATCTTTATTCCAATCTTATTACTGAAATACTGCTCTTTTGTACAAATTGTCTTTTAAAAGGCTAACATGTTTTTAAACCTTTACATAATGATAGCTATGTTTTTGCTAAAGTTAACATTAAAAATTACTACAAAGACTATTTATGCTTTATTTTAATAAATAAAATTAAATTTTATTAAGCTAGTCAAAAAATGGCACTGGGTTTGTTTTGTTTTTCCATTGTGCCATGTGATGCATTTGTGTTTCATTTTCTTTATCATAAAAAAACAGCTTTGTAAATCAAGATAGAAAGAAAAAATGACCACTCAGAAATTGTAGCTATTTGTATTGATATAAAACAAACCTAAAATGGCTGTACAGGATCCTCATCATTTCTCATAATGAATAAATACTTTTAATATCAAATTTGGTTTAGTGGTGCTATACATTATTATTTAGTCTAGGCTACTCTTTATATAACATCTGAAAAATATCAAAAATAGTGCAATACAGCACTATAGAGGACACATGGCACAGTGGATAAAGGCGTTAGTTAGATCCAGTGACAGGACCCAAATAGTGTGAGTTCAATACCTGGTTAAGGTGGTGGAGAACTTCGAGAGGAAATTAAGCAGGAGATAACTGACATCCATTAGACATGGCACGTGGAACTTGAAAGGTGAGCGAAATAAAGGGTTCAGTTCGGCATTCCAACCATCTGAAGAAGACCGGAGCGTACAACGGTCGAAACGTTGTAATACATATGGCGA